AATGATCCTGAACATTTAGTCTTCCCACAGAAGTTCCATGATACAGCAGCTGGAAAGGGTAACAGCCCTTGCATTCATCCTTTAGGTACTAAGAAGGGAGAACCAGCAGTTTATTTCTCACCTCAAGAAATTAATAACCTAAATGATCAAGTAAAATTTACCTAGGTGGGGAAATTTCTTCCTGGCCCCCAAAAATGGAATTAGTTAGGAATTACTTTGCTTCCTTAAAATTCAATGGAGATTGGCATATTTGAATTCTAAATGGAAGACATCTACTTATACAACTCTCAGGTGAGGAAGACTATGCTAGACTATTTGCAAAACAAGCTATTAAAATTGGAGGCACCATCATGAAAATCCTAAAATGGGACCCTGATTTTGACCCTAGTAAGGAACCCCCAATAGTTCCCCTATGGTTTAAATTACCTGGCCTCCCAATTCAGTATTTTAATCTCAATGCTTTATTTAATATTACAAGTGCAATAGGGAGACCTATGAAGGTGGATGCTCCCACATACAACAAAGCCAGACCTGCCCTAGCCAGAATTCTCATTGAAAGAAATGTAACCCTTCCTGAAATCAATAGGATTTGGATTGGTAATGACATAGAGGGATTCTGGAAAAAAGTGAGGTTAGAACAAAAACTATACTACTTTCATGACTGCAGAATGTTTGGACACACCAAAGATAGATGTTTCAGGCTTCACCCCCCTCCCCCCCCAAAGAAGACTGTGGTAACTCATGAAAGGTATACTCAGCCTATTCTCCCAGAAACTTCAATTGGTGTGGAACCCTCTCCAACTGGGAATTTGGAGGACATGCTAGATACACCCAAAAGCTCTACAGCTCCATTTGGCTCCACATATCCCACAAATACTTTCCCCAGACAAATCAGGGAGGAGGTGAATCAGATAAATATTATAACACCCCTATCAGTAACCTTTAGATGAGGTGGTGCAATCCAAGGCGATCAACTAGAAAACTACTCTTGTAATAGAAGCTCCTCAGAAGAATGTTATAGCTGAGATGAAACACCTAATGGAAGAGGAATGTCAAACACAGAAATCTAAAAAGAAGAAAAAGGTTCAGTCCGAAGTGCAGAAATTAAGGGATGGTAATATTGGGTTCACAAAAGCTTTGAAGATGGGGGGACCTCCTCCTTCTGAGGAAGGACCAGATCAAGATTTCAGCCTTCTCTCCAAATATGTTGTGTTGGAATATTAGGGGCATAGCCCATCCTCAGTCTTTAAAAAGATTGATTTATCTCAACAAAAAGTACAAACTATGGTGCTTTGCTATTCTTGAACCTTTGGTTCGACATAACTCGCAGAGAATTATTCAAAGATTCCTTGGTTTTTTTCACTATGCTAACAAAAATAATAAACTTTGGTTCTTTTGTAAGAAAGAAATACAGTGGAGCATTATAATGGATCATCCTCAGTTCATACACCTTTCACTGCTTGTACAAGGCCATCTGGAGTATGCTACTTTTATTTATGATGGTAGTCTAAAAGTTGATAGACAGGAGCTTTGGGCGGGCTTACATCTCATCAGCACTAATATGGATTCTCATTGGATAGTAGGTGGAGATTTCAATTATATCACTAATACAGCTGAGAAATCTGGAGGGAGACCTCCTAACCTGTCCAAAATGACTTATTTTAATGACCAAATTCAGCAGGCTAGTTTGTTTGACTTGGGATACCAGGGTCCTAAGTTCACTTAAAAGAGGGGTCTTCTGTGGAATTATAACGGTTATGTATTAGTTAATGACCACTGGCAAAAACATTACCTCCTAACTTTTGTTACCCACCTAAACCTCACTGGTTCAGACCACAGACCACTCCTCATCCACTCCTCCACAGACCACTCCTCATCTCCATAACTTCACCAAGTACTACCTCACTCCACCCTCCTTTCAGATATCTAAACATGTTGTCTACCCACCCCCTTTTCATTAACTGTGTGGCTTCTAACTGGATGGGAATTGAACACACTGACCCTTTAATTAAGCTAAGCCTTCTGCATCAGAAAACCAGAAAAGCATTGAGGAAGCGGGGTTGCAAAACTTTTGGAAATGTATTTTCCAATGTCTTATCTGCTGAGAAAGAGGTTGAGAGGCTTGAGGTTGTTGTTCAGAATAATTCTGCCACTGAAACTGAGTTGCTTACTGTCCAGACTAATTTGAATAAAGCTATTGACATCCAGGATATGCTACTTAAACAAAAAGCTTTTGTTAACAGTTTTACTGAACGGGACAGAAACACTAAGTTCTACCGTGCCTATATAAGTTACAAGTGGAAGTGCAATACCATACACTCCATATATTCTACTGAGGGAAGATGGCTTAATGATAATGCACTTATAGCTAAGGATTTTGTTAAGTACTACAACTCCCTCCTGAACTCCTCTACTGATCTCAATACTGACTATGAAGAATACTTTGTTGAAGAATCAAGTTACACTGGTCAGCTGAATCTTACTAAACTCCCTTCTGATGAGGAAATTTGGGCAGTGAACACAATTGACGACAGCTCTAAAGCAGCTGGCCCTAATGGCTTCACTGTTGACTTCTATAAAAAAGCATGGCACATCATGGCACATCATCTGGCACATCATCAAGAAGGAGGTGGTGGAGGCAATTAAGAGTTTCTTCAGAGGAGTCAATCTCCCCAGCTATTTTTGTAACACATCTATCGTGCTAACCCCTAAAGGAGATTTGCAGAATTCTTGGGAACACTACAGACCTATAAGCCTTATTTCTATCATAAGCAAACTCATAAGAAAGATCGTTGTGAGAAGACTTCAACCACATCTTGACAAGATTACACATCTTGACAAGATTATCTGTCTTGACAAGATTATCTGTCCAAACCAAACTACCTTCATTAAAGGTAGATCCATTAATGATAATGTGTTGTTTGCACAAGAACTCACTCTAGATTTAGCTAAAATCAGTAGAGGGGGTAACCTCATTTACAAATTAGATATCAAGAAGGCTTATGAAACCATTGACTGGAATTTCATCTTGGGGATACTTGCAGCTAGAGGTTTTCAACCAGAATTCAGAAATCTCATCCAAAGGTGGCTTATTAACAATAACCACTCCATCCTAATCAATGGCCAACTCAAGGGGTCTTTCATAGCTACCAGAGGACTAAAACAAGGTGCAGTTATCTTTATAATTGCTATGGATTACTTCTCTAGATTGCTTGATAGGAACATTCTCAACCAATAGTACTCTAGATTCCACCACAAATCCAATATAGCAATTTCCCACATCATGTATGCTGATGATATTATGATATTTTCCAATGTCCAAAAGATTGTTGTGAAGAAAGTTTATAAATGTATACAACAATTTCAGAATTACTCTGGGATGGAGTTCTGCCCTACTAAATGCCAACTTATATTTAACAAGAGGACTTCTTCCATTATTAAGCATGGGATCTCCAACTACACTGGCTTCTCTAATGCTAGGGACCCTGTGAAATATTTGGGGGTTCAGCTCATATGGGGGAGATCAAAAATGACCCAATTTGATGAGGTATTGCAAAAAATGCAGAAAACTCTATCTAGCTGGTCTCATTCTTTCCTATCTAATGGGGGTAAAATTACTCTCCTTAGAAGCATCTTAACTACCTTCCCCTCTTATATTCTCCAAACCAACTACCTCAAGAAAAGC